ATAAGTATTCGATTGGTCAACACGCAAGAACAAGTCGGCATCTGTTCCCGGTTTCATCAGCATTCGTACGCAGCGTAATTGGAAATTTTTACACTCGTTAACATCTCTGCAGATTCTCTCAAAATCCAAAATCCACTTAAAGGCTTCCTCATTTTCAGTGGCAGAAAACGGAATCATGAGCTGTTTCACCATACGAATGTCATCTGTAGTCTTGCTGTCGTTTCGCATTAATTCGGCCAGTATCTTCTTCTTCTTAGCTACCCTTATGGCGGCGTCAAGTAGTGCTTCTTCTTCTTCTAATTCGTCGATGTCTTCGCTAGCGCTCCGCTGGCTTACAACCTCAATTTTGGCATCTTCTTCCTCCAATAGGCTTTCTGGGATATTAGCCGCATCCTGGCAACCGGCATCCAGTGCAAGCTTGCGCAGTTGTCTTAAAGTCGCACTTCCTGGAAACCTGATTTCATTGGCTTGAAGCCACTCTACAATGTTCGCCTTGTCCATTCCAATTTGGCGTCACTCGCCAAAACGCAATTATAGGAAAAAAACTTGTGTGTCTTCGGATAGCCAACAATGTTTATGTAGGCGGATGTTTAAATGGTGTCTATCCCACTTCTGAAGTTGTTATCGTAGTTTTAATTCTTTTTATTTCACTTTATTTTAATTTTATGTTAGCGTGCTTTTTACAATGTCTCTCTGTTTCTCTCTTTTATCGTAAAGTGACCGTTCTCTGATATTCACGTTATCCTTAGCCTTTTTCAATATTAGTTTTACTTAATTCTATATCAAATCGGAACAGCGGGATTGGTACATAAATGTGGATGTTGGTACTTAATTAATATAACTTAGAAATAGCTATAGACATGTTAATCACATCATCATACACTGCTTACAAAGTATTGCCTGAAACAGCGAAACTTTTCCACTGCTCGCCATGATTGCTCAATCCACTCTAAGATTAGTATACAGATTGCTTGTATTGACTTAAAATTGATTAAATAATAAGATGATCTCTATTAAAATCTCCCTTCTTAATTTTTGGTAGTAGGATATCTGATGATGCTTAACTAACTTTATTTTAAGATTTGAGGCGATTCATTAAGAAATGCTGATAAAGCAGCTCACACCTCTTCTTGTTATACCCTTGCAGAGGGTATTATAATTTTGGTCAAAAGTGTGCAACGCAGTGAAGGAGACATCTCCGACCCTATAAAGTATATATATTCTTGATCAGGATCACCTCCTGAGTTGATATAGCCATGTCCGTCTGTCCGTCTGTCTGTCCGTCTGTCTGTCCGTCTGTCTGTTTCTGCGCGAACTAGTCTCTCAGTTTTAAAGATATCGAATTGAAACTTTGCACACACCCTTCTTTCCTTTGCACGCAGTATATACAGTCAGCACAAAATTTATTCGGACACTGTCTATTATCAAGTTTAACAGCTTATTTGCCGGAATTTTCGTAATTTTAGCAGGTTTTTTTTTACTTATCATAGAAACAGTGATTTTCAGAAGACATTACACAAACAAAAATGTAATTTTTTAAATTAGCCTTAAAAATATTAAAAGAAAAGCAAAAAAGTTGCTAAAATGTTGCACAAAAATTATTCGTACATTTCTCATTTATTGTGTTTATTTCTGAGCACAACGGTAATAGGCGATTCTTTTTAAAGTAGTTTAGTTGAAATTACTTCGGAGTAATTTTCGGCGTGCTTTTTTTTTTTGTTTTTTGTTAGTTTTTATGTGTTTTTTTGATACGATTGGTCAAAATAAAAGGAGTTCAAGATTTGTCACTAGATTTTCGAAAACCTATCTTAAATTCATTTTTGGAAAATCGTAGTTATCGCGAAATCGGTCGTATTAATGGAAAATCACCTTCCACAATACATAGTATAATCCAAAAATACTTAAAAACGGAATAATGAGCTTCAAATCACAAGAAAGTTAGAAGGTCTAAGATTCTGTACTCACGTGAGGGACGGAAATTTATGTCTACAGTCCTGAAAAATCCGAAAACAACATCTACAACAATTCAAAAGAATGTAGAGCAAGCGAAAATAAAAAAGTTTGGGCCAAAACCATCCGAAACTACCTGTACAAGGCTGGTTTACATGGCAGAGTTGCTCGTCGAAAGCAATTATTTTCTGCCATCAACAAAAAAAAGCGTTTGGAGTTTGGAAAACTGCATATAACCACCCGGATTCGTTTTGGGAGAACGTAGTTTTAAGCGACAAATCCAAATTTTACATATTTGGACACTATGGGCCCTCGAAAGTGTGGAGGAAACCAAATGAAGCCATGAATGAGAAGAACTTAATTCCAACTGTTTAGCATGGTGGCGGGAATGTAATGATGTGGGGGTGTGTATCGGTAGAAGAAGTCGGTCAAATGGTCTTTAATGACGACAAAATTAATAAGAATATCTACAAAAACATTTTAAGCGAAAATTTGATTCCAAGTGATATAAAACTTGGTCTAGATCCGAAGACATTGTTGTTTCAACAAGACAACATTCTTCGTCTTTGGTGCAAGAGTGGCTTTTATATCACTGCAAGCAGCTGAAAACACCTCCCCAGTCACCTAATTTAAGTCCCATAGAACATGTTTGAGATATTCTTGAGAAAAGGATTCGGAAGCACGTCATTTCGTCCAGGGAGTCCTTAAAAACTGCATTGATGGCTGAATGGGGTCAAATTAGCGCTAATGAGACAAGCAACTTGGTAAAAAGCATGGGTCGACGCTTACAAGCTGTCATTGATGTTAGTGGAGGACCCACCAAATATTAAAAATATTAAAACATCAAGAAATATGTTTTTTTTTTAATATTATATGAAGTGTCCGAATAATTTCTGTGCGTAAAATTATGACTTTTCAAGTTCATTTAAGAAAATATCTAATTTTACTGTTGAAAGTTCCTTATTTTTTTGTTAAAATATATTCTAAGAATGTTAACCTTCACGATGAAATATAAATTGTTTGTTTTCGTTACGTTTTTGTTGAGTTATTAATGAATCAAAATCAAAATCACGGGTGTCCGAATAAATATTGTGTTGACTGTATGTCGGAACGTCCTATAGCTGCCATATAACTGATTGATCGGAAATGCCATAACTTTGGTGTTTGTAAAGTTAGGAAGTTGGGATTTTCTTTGTGTTTTATATTTGGCCAATCAATCCGACCTACCAAATTTCATAAGGATCGGCCGACTATATCCTATAGCTGTCATATAATTAAATGATCGGAAATGCCATAACTTTGGTGTTTGTAAAGTTAGGAAGTTGGGATTTTCTTTGTGTTTTATATTTGGCCAATCAATCCGACCTACCAAATTTCATAAGGATCGGCCGACTATATCCTATAGCTGTCATATAATTAAATGATCGGAAATGCCATAACTTTGGTGTTTGTAAAGTTAGGAAGTTGGGATTTTCCATGGGTTTTATTTTTGGCCAATCAATCCGACCTACTAAAATTCATAAGGATCGGGCGACTATATCCTATAGCTGCCATATAATTGAATGATCGGAAATGCCATAACTTTGGTGTTTGTAAAGTTAGGAAGTTGGGATTTTCTATGGGTTTTATTTTTGGCCAATCAATCCGACCTACTAAACTTCATAAGGATCGGCCGAATATATCCTTTAGCTGCCATATAACTGATTAATCGGAAATGTCATAACTTTGGTGTTTGTAATGTTAGGAAGTTGGGATTTTCTATGGGTTTTATTTTTGGCCAATCAATCCGACCTACCAAACTTCATAAGGATCGGCCGAATATATCCTATAGCTGCCATATAACTGAACGATTGGAAATGCCATTACTTTGGTGTTTTTAAAGTTAGGAAGTTGGGATTTTTTATGAGTATTAAGAAAGCATTATATGAATAATTCTGGAGAATATAATTTACAGAGTATTCTGCAAGGGTATATCAACTTCGGCTCCGCCCGAAGTTAGCTTTCCTTTCTTGTTATTCCTAAGTTTGTAAAAATAGCATTTAGTTAGAGTTGACGATTCTCTATAGCTTAGCAATACAGATTAGTTGATCTAGGTTGTTCTACTCAATATTCTCAAAGTTAATCAAACCAGCCATTTCACGTTAAAGTTTAAACATATTAAAGTTTTATTTCATTGTAGATTAATATCTACCAGCATTTTTATACCCTTGCAGAGGGTATTATAATTTTGGTCAAAAGTGTGCAACGCAGTGAATGAGACATCTCCGACCCTATAAAGTATATATATTCTTGATCAGGATCACCCCCTGAGTTGATATAGCCATGTCCGTCTGTCCGTCTGTCTGTCCGTCTGTCTGTCCGTCTGTCTGTCCGTCTGTCTATCCGTCTGTCTGCTATCAAATTGAAACTTTGCACACACCCTTCTTTCCTTTGCACGCAGTATATAAGTCGGAACGGCCGGGATCGGCCGACTATATCCTATAGCTGCCATATAACTGATTGATCGGAAATGCCATAACTTTGGTGTTTGTAAAGTTAGGAAGTTGGGATTTTTTATGAGTATTAAGAATGCATCATATGAATAATTTTGGAGAATATAATATACATAATATTCTGCAAGGGTATATCAACTTCGGCTCCGCCCGAAGTTAGCTTTCCTTTCTTGTTTAATTTAAGTTTAAAAAAAAATTTTTTAAAACACTTTCTTAAACGACGAGATTAGACCCAAGCCAATGAGAAAATATCGAATATTGTTCAGTACAAATTAAATTTTAGATTTAATTTCAAATCCCTAGTACAAAGAAAATATATAAATAAATAATGATTAATTATGAAACTGTTTTATTTTTCTGTCAACTGTTTTTTGTGCGATCCCCCATCTATAATAAAATATAGAAATGTCATTAAATATGAAAATCCTTAACACTTACCGAAATTAAAGAAAACTGAATTTATTCTAAAACTATTCTTCGCAATTTTCTCATTGACGGGAATCCTACGGGAGAAACATTAAAAAGATTAATATGTTTTGTGGTAAGGATTTTAAATGATTAAATATGGAACTTCTCAATATCCTCGTCGAAGCTACTCTTGCGCGGAGTGCATATCGTTGGAAAATCTGTATCCGAGTCCAAAAAGGATACGACATCCGACTGGCTGTTGTTCGATGTGCTAATAGAGGGTGTCCGTGGCCGTACGCCACGACGCCTCTGGTTGATTCGGGGCTTTTGGAAGTCCCTGGTTTGGGATTGATCATCCATGCTGCTCCGCTTAGTTTTCTGAACCGCTTCCTCGTGGTAGGAGATGTAAGCGCGGTGCTCGTCGATCCGCTTCTTCTCAATTTCGATCTGCTGGTTAATCTGTGCCTCCATTTTGCCGAAGCCATCCAGCCGGAGTTTGTTCTTCTCGTGCTCCTGCATCTGTCGGTAGAATCCCAGGTTGTCCGATGCTCGCTGGTCGGTCTGAAACTTGCTGATCTTGCGATAGAGCCCCAGGAATTGAAGAGGATCCTCGAAGTAGCAGGCCACGCCACGGGGCAAATTCCCGTTGATCGGGATTGAATGAAGCTCCTGCTTGCAAATTGGACATTTTTTTTCTGACGAGGATTCTGTCACACAAGTCTTGCAAATTACGTGCTGGCATCTCGTCATGTTGAAGACCATCGTCTGATCTTTACTGCGGTGAGAAAAGCACTTGTTGCAATGGACTCGAAACATAATTAAGCAATAGTGTTTCCTTAGCAAATTTAAAGTTTATGCACATTAAACAGCTGTGTTTTGGCGTCTGATAAAACTAACGGATCTTATCCTTATCGGTCTGGCCACTCTGGTGGTACTTCTTTAAACACTCGTAACAGTGAACATAAAAACAGAAAATGGTTAAGTTCACTGTTCAGTGCTATCAAATATCATATGGTTACGATTTCTAAAACAAAAAAATTAAGCTTTAAATAAGCTTTAAATTTTTAAATTTATTGAAATTTTATGAAAACCATAAAACTTTTACATATTTTCCGTTTGTAAAATGTCAAATCAAGAATGGGTTTCGTTACAAAATAAATCAGCATAAAGAAACCATTGTGGCATTTAAAAAACTAAATATAAAGAGAACGTGCTTTTAAAGCAATTCCAGAACGAACGCTGATGTAATGATTTTTTGTAGAAAAATTAAACAGATAAATATGTTAAATATGGTTGTTGGAGTATTTAAGTTAAACTAAGAACTATAATTTAATAAATATGTCATTTACATACAATTTACTAATTATGTATAAAACAACACTGGTAGCAGGCCTCTTTTAAATAGCGCTTTGCTTTCCCCGTTGAGTAAGGTCTCAAATCGACTTTTTACAGTAATATACTGAAATATATTTAACTTTTTTACAAATACACAAAAAATTGGTCCAAAATACATCTTGAGGAACACGTCCTGGCAAGCTGGGGTAGAAAATAACACGAGCGTTTCCCGACTACCTTACATTTATTTTCAAATATTTTTCCGTAATGTAAAGATGCAAGGTAATGTATTCTATTGTAATGTAAAGTAATATATTTTTGTGTAATATAATATATTCAATTGTAATGTAATGTAGTATATTCTATTGTATTGCCTGTATGTATAATGCTTAATTTAATGCAATGAAATAACTTTAAATGAACGTGATGATTATATGTATATTCATGTATCTCACAAAAGTATCCGAAAATATCTTTTTAGAAAATTTGACATTCTTAATTTTTTGAACACTTCATAAAATACTGTCTTACATAAGGCCAAAAAACAGCAAAATTACGTTTTTTTGCATTGTTTTCTAAATTCTTTTCAAAAAATGTATTTAAAGTTAATATTTTACGGGAGAAATGCAGAAAAGTTTTTTTTACTGTATAAAGTAGTTTTAAAATAAGCGCTCAAGTAATTGGGCCAAGTTGGTATCACAGAACTCTTATCGATATTTTACAAATCCATAGGGTAATTTCTTATGTCTAATACGGTCCTCACATATCCGATAAAAGCAACAAAGTTTTTACGACCTATTCACACATGCACCCGCTGTTACAAAAGCAGCTGATCGGTCTACAAGAAAACAACAAACAGAAAAATAAGATGAGAACGTGCAAATTAAATTTTCTCGCCAATATGCATTAGCATTTGCAAGTGGAGCATTTAATGATTTATCCATTGCTGTTGGTCAATTGGTAAATAGTTCTACTCAGAGCGGGGGAATTGAAAATGGGCACAGAAATATTGAGATTGACATTAATGACAAAAGACTGTTTTTACTAGAACTGCCATCAGTTGGCTTATGTTATACCCAAGGACTCCATCTTTCACTTGATGGATTATATGGTGGCCACCACTTCCAAATAGATTCATTTATGCTTGTTTTCCCAAATAATAAGTGAATTTTCAGGCTCTAGTACATCCTCCAGCTTTTTGCCGACGGGTGAATACGACCTATTTATTCATTAATTTCAATTTAAAGTGGAAAGTATTGTAAAAATCAATCAGTCAAAAGAATTTAAGGACATTTCAGGGCACACTAATTCGAAGAGGAACGTGTAGCGACTTTTCCCCCGTCTTATAGGCGAAAACGGAGTTGTTGTGGAATTTCGTCAGGCTCTTTTTTCACCAAGGTACTCAGATCGACGAATAAAATACCAGAAAATTAAATTGGCGAACGCTTTTCGTCAGGGTATTTTTCACCTCGGTACTCAGATCGACGAAAAATACCAGTAAATGGTATAGCGTTGCCAGTCTGCTGAAATTAACTTTGGGTGAACTTTCAGGTCCTAGCGAAAAGATTAAAAAATGTAATCTTTTAGGTTGACTGTCGTCAGAGCAAAGTGTTCCGAAGTTCAAAAATGCACGGAAAACTCCCCCAAAAAAATCCGGAAAAATCGCCTGCAAGAACTTAGGGCAGCAATGATCTCCAAATTATTAAATAATTATCAGTAATTAAGAAAAAAAACTATTAAATTAAATTTTTTTTTTTCTAATTTCTTTGTATAGCGGCAGAAGTAGTTGAGAATATCCTTTAAATGCTCTTTCACGCAAATAAGATTTTTGAATTTTAACTGCTTGTTAACAAGCCCAGAAAATTGACAGTACGACCGTAGCACGCTCAATACTGATGAAAAATGCTGTCCGCTGGCGAACTCGTTTTACGATCTGAGTGTCTTTAAGCCTAGTACTCAGATCGACCAAAACTGTCCGCCAGTCATGAGAGAGAGCGAGAGGCAAACAGCTGGCGTTCACTTTTCGTAAAGGGTTTTTTTCACCTCGGTCCTCAGATCGACGAAAAAAATACCAGAATATTGCATAGCGTTGCCAGTCTGCAAAAATGATTAAAAAATGTAATCTTTTGACGTGCGCTTCTCACTGAACATTATAAGAAATGCAGGGAAAAACACAAAAAACTCGCAAAAGTCGATTGCAGGAGTTTACATGTGAGGACAAAATAACATTAATACTATCTGGGGTGCAAATGTTTTTTGGGTCAAGAATGTATGAAAAAGCAAAATAAAAGTGCAGCTATGAACTTTAAATTAGCAAATAATTATCAGTAAATTAAAAAAAACAACTGTTAAATTTAAATTGTATTGTTTTTTAATTTCTTTGTTCAGCGGCAGACTTGTCTTGCCAAGGTATTTGATAATATCTTTTAAAGGCTCTTTCCCGCAAATACGATATTTGAATTTTAACTACTTGTCAACAAACCCAGCTGACTGACAGTACGACCGTAGCACTCTTAAATCTGATGAACTTAATTAATTCGGTGAAAAATCGGTAATTTTTAAAATTTTTTGGCGATACGGATAGTCTTAGCTCAATTTTGTTTTTTGCATGTGATGGGCAATATTTAAACAATATGTGTGATTTTTTTCTTCCAAAAATATTAAAAATTGACTGAGATACAGGCAATCTCCGGCGGCGCCTCGAAGAAAAAATGTTTTGCGGTGTACACGATAACCGGTCACAGAATCATCTGAAATGAAAAAATCCAATTGCATTAGTTAAAGAACAAGATTGCTCAGGTAACGCAGTTTGTTTTATTATTTTTTTTTCGATTTTTAAAGGCACTTGAATGTCAAAAACACCGATTTTCGCCTAAAACGTCGAGATATTTGTTGCTCTAAAAATAATAAATTTTCAAAAAAAAAATAAAAAAACTCGACAGCGTTACCTGAGGAATTTAGTTGAGAACAACTGTGCAAAATTTCAAAACGATCCGTCCGATAGATTTAGCAGGATCGTGTACACCGATAACTTTTCAGGAGAGCGGTTTAAAGTTTTGGACACCCATACAAAACTTAACTACGTTCAACTGCCCATAAGTTCGAAAACTTTAACACAATATTTTCAAAATGTTGTGCACTAAGAAAAAAAAAAAAAATTTAAAAAAAAAATGTAAATACTATACCTCCCTCGTACCTTTCCACCCACGCTCTTTTTATAATTGTTGCATTAAAATGTTTTTTATATGACAAATCCAACATAAATAATAGCGTGTCTAAGTTTTCGTATATAAAAAATCGTATCGCTTGCTCACTATTTCTCCTGTAACTTTAAAAATATTTCTTGCATAGTTTGGGTAGATATTTATGAAACGAAAATTGGATTTTTTGAAGCCTCTAAAGCGGGCTCCCACCTTAAGGAGTTAAAAATGTTCTGAAATTAAAACGTTTTAATTGAAACTATAGGGATACTAGTTGGATACTTTCAAAAAATACAATGTACCTATTTACTTATTTTAATTAATTATTTAATTATTTCAGTTAAACAAGACTTTGTTAAAAATACTAAGCAATCGAGAATTAAGGCTATAAAAATGTTTTACATCGGAACATTTATCAATGTAAAAAAATTGTAATTTCCTGTATACCCTTGAAATTGGCCAATTACCACCTAGCTTCACTAACTATCACTGCCCCATTGGCATCTACTGTTGGAAAAATGGATTATTTCAGTTAACTTTCCACTCTTTTGTGATTAGTTCGTATTGAAAGTGTACAGACTAACATGCACATTCGCGACGGTACTAAGACTTTTCATTTTTTTTTCATTCGGCGAGTGTTGACATCGCATAATAGGTGCAACTTACCTACACAAAAGCAGACCTCACGGCCCTTGACGCTCGCCCCGACCCCTGAACTACTCGATATCAGCAGTGCGTAGTTGTTATAGGTTAAGAAATGTCTGATGCTTAAGCTGGCTCAAAGAAAGTCGTCAGCCACAGATTCCATCCTGATTGAGGTCAAACAAAAAACAAGAAGGAGATAACAATTGAAGTTGGGAGAAGAAAGACGGGACCGTAATATAGCTTAGATAACAAAGAATCGGGGGTTCTACTACAAACCACAGCCATTGCCGACAAGGTTTTGTTGCAAACAAAAGAGGTCAAAATTGTTACACTAAACACCCGAGCACAGGCACACCCGCCCTACATATGTATGTATGTAGACTGAAGAAATGAATAGTTTTTGGCCAACAACCCTACTTAGTGTGCGAGCCCGTACTCTACCCTTGAAGTAAACAATTAAAAAGATGCATTGTGTGTGGATTTGCGCATGAATAAAACTGCATGATCTTTGCCTTTGTGTGCTGTTGGTAAAAGGGCGGGATGCATTTACACATTTCTGGGCTTACATATGTTCTATAAATGTACTTAATTCTTAAAATATAGTACAATGATTTGCAATAATTAAAAAGTTTAAAC